ACGTTAGGAAACAAAACTTCCAGAACATGGCCACGCAGCCCGGAAGACCCACACCAGCCATCATATGCTGGCCGTGAAAGCCTTCGACAATACACTTAACTACTTTTCTTTTTCCTTCAGTTTGAAATTTTATTTATTTGTGATATGCAGAAAATTGTTAATACAATTACAGGTGTAAAACATAGATAACACAGAAAAAATCAAATACAAGCAGCCATCTAATTTGAAATATATAACTACTATATATATGATTATATATACACACACACACACCCACACACACACACAAATACATACATATACACATACATACTACAGTAGTTATATATATATAGTAATTATAATATAAATATAGTAGTTTAGTACTAAATATAGTAGTATTTATATATATATAAATATAACTACTATATTCTAATACATCATTAAAAGCTTATAATACTAAGACATTGCATATCTATTTTCTAATGAAAACCTCTATTAAATATTAACACAATTCATAAAAAAGAAAAAACTATAGTTGATTAACAAAATACTAAAACAGTTATGTAAATTTTATGTAGATTATATGTCAAAATAGATAAGATCTAAAACCTGAATTTTGATGTTGCACAATTGCATGCATAAAATTGTAGTCTAAAATTATTTCCAAACAGAGTTGAATTCTACATCAGATTTACTTTTTAAATATGAAATTGTTCTAGCCATTCATTACTCCCACTTTTTGGTTAGCATTCTTGCATAGAGGGGATCAAAGATATTTTTCAATAAAAAGCATTGCACCCATTAACATATACAAAGCCAATTCAGTATATTTTGAAGGAATATATGGTTAGTGAAATTTAATAAAAAAATATATCTGGATGGAATGAGGACACAATTTTCAGAATTTGTCCCATTCTACAATGGATTGTTTCCCAGTGTTGTTGAGCTTTACAACATTGCCACCATGTATGGCAAAAGGATCCAATCTGTGCATTACATTTCCAGTTTTTTCAGAAAAAGAATTATTCATTTAGCCATCAAGACTGGAGTGATGCATCAGTGGTAAAGCATCTTGTACCAGTTCTGTCTTAGTATAATGTTTGAGGTAAATTTAATGTTATTTTTCCATTGAAATCCTTACTGTTGCATCTCTATAACAATGTTCAAGTTCTGCATCTATTTAATCATATAGTCTTTGACTTGTTTGGGTTCTGAGTCACATTTCACTAATAAATTGTAAATTGTGCCTTACAAATGTGTTATAAGATTTTCAAATTCAGCTGAATTTCTCAGTGTTTCTCCTTGTTTCTGTAATTCTTTTGTTGCTGTGCTGCTTATTTGAAAACATGTTTATTTTGGTTTCTTATGAATTTACGTAATAAGGAGTATCCAGATGTTAAATTCTTCCTTTTGGGATGCTGTTAATTAGTGCCCAATTGTTTTACAAAAAGTACACAAAGTATTGATGTGATACAAATAAGGCAAGAAAAACAGGTGAAAAAAGGAAAGCCAGCAACTATTTAAAACAGCAGCTTGAAAAACACAGGAGAATATTCATTAAGTTTATAGCTTTTAAAAATCTATTTGAATAATATTTCCTACATAGGAATCAAATTCTCATAGGAAAAGTGTATACATTCAATAATATATGCTGACAGTGAAATAGGCAAATGAAGCAGCTTATTCTAAGCAATATAGAATCTAGTGTTTTAGAATTTCTTCTTTTCTTCCTTATAAAGAAATAGTAATTTGTATTTAAAGTCATATTGCTGTCAATGATACATTAATTTGTACTTTTCTGCTTCAGGTTGCATTTGAAATTAACCCTTTTATTCTTAAATATGCTTTTTTAACACTTTTTCCTGTGCCTTTATTTGGGTATTTTTAGTCTTATCCCTAATAAATGATTTCTATATTGGGCAGTGCAGTTGAAAAAATGAATCTGCCTTCCAAGACCTAGCTGCTGAGGAGACTTGAGAATAATTGTAACATCTAAAATAGAGCCAGGGTGTCTTACAGCAATTAATTTAAGTGATTGGATGCTAGTGATGGTTTAGTAATTTATTAAGATGGCTGTTTCTTTTGACATGTGTCAAAAAGGTCAGAGTTTCTCCTTTTCTTTTTTTTTTTGGATATTAACCTACTCTTCTGAAACTCAGAAATTCTACTTTTTGGTCATTAATTTCATACATGCTGTGATGGTGACAATTAACCCACTTAATAAAGGTCAACTTTCAATTTTTTCCCAATTTCTACAATACCTAACTTTATTCCTTCTCAAAAATGGGCAGATTACTGAATGATAAATAGCTATTAAATGAGTGCAGGAATGTGGCTCAGCTGTAAGGATAGCAGCCGAACAGTTGGCAACAAGAGGAGTAGACTTACTGTATCTAATAAGCTGAAAAAAGTGAGAAGTTGGGCTGCCTTTTTTAAAACCTATTATCAAAAAAAGAGCAAATAGGCCTTCTTCGGGGCAACCCTGGGAGTTAATAAATGTGGGCATTTTCAGAAGCATGAAGCATCAGCATTTAATGTGTGATAAAATATCCAGAAGAAGCAACGAAGATAATAAGGGGCCTCTTAGGGGTGGTTGGAGATCTTGGGTATGCTTATCTGGAGAAGACAGTGGGCATGACAGCTGACTTCAGGTATCTAAAGGGTAAGGGCTTCTATGTAGGAGAGAGGGCACAATTGTTTAGAGATGTTCCAGAAGACAGAACAAGAAACTGGGTTTTAACTACGAGGTAGTAGATCTTGGTTGGACACCTGGAAAACACTCCTAACCATAAGAGTTGTTCAGCAAAGAAGCAGACTGCCTTGGGAGACAGGGGACTCTCCTTTGATGGATGTTCTCAGACAGAGAGTGGGTGGTCAACAGTCCGAGATGCTGTAGTACTGTAGTGGATTCCTGCGCTGGGTAGGGGGGGTTAGACTACTTTATCTGCAAGATCCCTTCCAACACATATAACTCCATAAAAATTCTACTGGCTGTATTATGTGGTGGCAATGACTCCACAATTAGCATGACCTTTTGTATTGACTTGTTTCTGTGGCTTTGGAAGCAGTCCTGAAAAGTGAATAGAATTCCATGAAAACTTGGAGGCATGTAGACTGATGGTACAACTGACGCGCGCGCACGCACACACACACACACACACATCTTCATCCATCATCTGTTGGTCCTCCGAGAACGAAACCAGAAACATAGCTGTACACATTGTAAAGGCTCTAAAGCCACTAATTCCTCTCCATACTATATAAGAAGATTGCATACTACATAAGAAGTGTGCGTTCCAGTTACGGTTTCCCAGGGACTATCAGGGGCAGTGTACAATGACACGTGTGTTGCTAGGCTTAATGTGGCTACTTTGTCTTGCACCCTTCCCCCCCAAAGCAAAAAACAAACAAATGAAAATGAATGCTTCAGTTCTAAACAATAGATCAAAACATTCATAGTTTGCCTGCCCTTCTAACTTATGTTCTTGACTTGTACTGGTTTTTACTCCCTTGTCTATTCATGACATACAGTTCCTTTATTATCTGAGCTTTCAGCTTTGCCTTAAGGCAGATTGCTAGTCTTTAACTATTCTTGAATGTGTTTATGACTTTGCTTTTAATTAAATTAATATTTTAAAAAATTTAATATTATACAAGTATTTAATGCACGCCCTTGCTCCCAATTGTATTGAATGACTTGCCTTGAAAAGCAGTATTTCTTAAAAACTAAACAGTTGAGAGGCACAGAGATGGTAGGACACACTGCATGGTTTTTACCCTGCTTACATTTATATTGTAGCTCCCTAGCCTGAAGGAAGGGAAATCCCCATCTCCATTTTAAATAAAATCTTGGTTACTACAAATGGTGTAAATCTCATTTCCAGCACATAAAGCAAAAGAAAATTAAGACATGCAAAGTGAGGTCAACGTGGAACTGAATACACATAGCCAAAGAAGATTCATATTCACCAGAAATATGTTGAAATATACTTCAGCTAGTTACAGACTCTCAGCCATCCTTACCATCGTGTTTTCCAAAAGAAATTGGATCTTTACTTGAGGATCAACCATTTTTCCACTATGCCAAAGTTTGTACTCATATTTCAAAATGCTTTGTTTTAATTTTAACACTGAATATATGAAGTAAACTCTGGGAAAAAACAATGTTTTATTTATAATACATTTTATTATTATCCTGTTTTAATCCAAAAAGATATAGAAATTTTAGAGAAGTGCCTCCTGGCTTTTCTTTTTTCTTTTTAATGATGCAACTGAAATGCAAGATGATTGTTTTCCAGGAAATTTCTGGTAATATCAATGGAATCATTCTATCTAGATCTGCTACCCAAGTCTCTGTACCTACCTTTACATATTAGCCCTAGGACTTTACTGACAAGGATCTTATCAAGATATAGGAATAATGACTTGAGTTAAGCAGCATGTTTGATCAAGCATAAACGGGTAAGGCTGATATTCTCCCAACTACCACCATAGAATTGTTCTTATAGCAGATGGAAAATGTACATTTTTAATTTAAGAATGAAATTGGAATTACCCTTTCCCATAACTTTGCTAGAAAACTTGGTGGAGATACCAAAAGTTTTGTAGATAATAATAAACTACTATCCTGTGTACAAGTGTTGCTACTTCTCATCCAATGCAGGATTAAATCAGAAGCTTCCCCTTCTATTTTTTTAACTACAATTTAGCATTACACCTAAACCCTAATTTATGGATAATTTTGATTGATTTGTTAAAGCAAATTAATTTCATTAGTTTGAAAGTTAGTGTGTTTTACAAGATAACTTCAGTGTGTAGCTAATGAAATTAATTTATTAAACCAAATAAGATTTGGTTTGACCAGCATGATCCCCCTAAACTATGACTAGTTAATGCAACCCATACCAAAGGGGGATGGGGACATGTGAGAAACTGGATTATTTCACAGCCTATTTGCTGTAGCCAGTGTAGGT